GACCCCCCAGTGACCTGACCTCTGTGATCTGACCTGATATCAGTGACCTCAAATAGCAAAATATGTGTTTGAAGAACGGCATTTTTTTCAATAAATTACCAATTTACTCGATTTCACAACACATTTCTTGAAATGCCTGTGAACGGTGAAAATCTGACCTTTGACCTGACCTGTGACGTCATCGGTTTGACCTAGGTCAATGAAATTTGGTCACAAGGTAGTTCATGGGTGGGGCTATCGAACGCCGTTTGAATTGTGAAAATCGGCCGGTAACTTTCCGAGATCTTAGGGGGGGCCGATACGCCCCCCCCCCCCTACGGGTGGTAGGGTCCGCCGGTAGCCCTACGGGGCGCGGGTTAACCCTCGCCGGCCGAGGGGGGGCGGGTGCCGCCCCCCCATAGGGTTTTTTCGCGATAGCTCCGAACACGCTGGCGATAGAGAGCTGAAACTTGGCATACCTGACCTTTGATCCAAGCCGCATCTTTTGACACCAACCGCATTTTTGGGTCAGGTCAGGTCACTGACCTATGACGTCATAAGTGAACCTCTGCACGGTCTTCAGATGTCGCAACTTCGCAACGCCCTCACTGCCAGAGGAGATGTCACAGGGAAATGAAACTTGCAGGATCTAGTATCCATTATGAGTCCCACAACTTGTATATCTCGGATTTTTCCTAAAGGTCATATGAGGTCAGGTCATTTTCGTGACCTCACCATTATAAGTCAATGGGGAAAAATGAAAACTGCTATTCTGGCGCCGGGAACGATCTCCAACTATCTCAAGCACACAGAATCGTGATTTGATGCACTCCTTGCAAGGTTAGATGCGTCACTTTTGCAATGTTGACCTTGCGTGACGTCATTTATGACGTCATCAAGGTCATATTAGTTTTTCGTCAATAACTCTTGATCAAATTGAGCTAGCGAGTCGGGAAAGTCACCAATGGACTCAGGAAGACCTGCCGAATCGAATGATATGCGACATGACCTCTTTCGACCAACTTCGTGACCTGGGGGTGCTGACCTGACCTTGACCTGAGGTCAACACCCCAAGTTGACCTGACCCGGACAAAAAAGTATACCATTCGACGCGCCTGAGCGAGACGAACACGATGCTGCCAAAATCGGCGCCCTGCGGCCGTTTTTTGCGAAGTTATTCACCAAAAACTGAACCGTACCCTGGGGCACTTGACCTGACCTCAGAGGTCACCGGTTGACCTAGGACCTTAAAATCGGGTACCAATCTCTGCGTCTCGTAACGGCGCACACGCTCGTTTTTTCCGCGACGCGCTAGCTCCACCAGGGGCGAAACGGCGAGGGGGGGTCGTACCCGCCCCCCCCCCCCTCGGCCGGCGCGTATGTAGAAAACCAATAGGTCCGGCGAGGGTTAACCCGCGACCTGGTGGGGGGGGCTATTTTTTGCCCCCCCTCCAGACTTTTCGATATATCTCCAGAACCACTGCGCCGATCGTCACCAAACTTTCAGTACCCTCCCGGACATCAATTTTACACATTGTGACCAAAAATTTTTCCAAAGGCTATGATAGGTTGGCCGGAAATGACGTCAGAGTGACGTCATGTTCTGCCGTTTTCGACCCAAAAAAGGGTTTCGCGGGAAGAGCTGTCAGGCCTATAGCTTTGCAAATACAGAAAAATGATACAAACATAAAAGCTGTAGAATGGACAGGGCTACAAAACTGCTATCTCGGATTTTTGAAATTTTTGGATTTTGACCCCCAAAAATAAAAAAATAGATTTTTTGAATATAATAGCCAAAAAATCCAAAAAGTTTTTTGAATTTCGAAAAACCGGAATATATGTGATAGTCCTTACCGCCTTCTATCTACATACCAAATTTGAGATCGATACCTCTTTTTTGGCCAAGTTATAGCGAAAAAACTGTTCAAAATTGATGACGTCAAATTTTCAAACTCACTTTTCAGCAATTCTAGACCTCGTAGCGCAAAACAAAGACCACCATTAGACTCCCCGTGACGAGCTGCATCGAATCAATACCCATTTTATGCAAAAATATCAACTTTGAAATTTGACCTTTTTTGACCTGACCTTGACCTGACCTCCACCAGAAAGTGACCTAAACCGTACCTGATGGTCTTATAACCAACACCATTGAGTTGGAAATGAAAAACTGGCCATAAAACATGCATCGCATAACCTTAGTAAAGTTGGGTTCCAGTGGTGACCCTTGGTGACCTTTGGTGACCTGACCTGTGACCTGACCTGGTATGACCAGTGACCTCTAACAGCAACATATCTACTAGGCAACTCACGCCCTATCGCTGATTCCCGACAAAATGCGTTTTCCTCGGTGTTATAGCGCATTCCCTAGAAGACCCGTGAACGGTGAAACATTTCATCTTTGACCTGACCTGTGACGTCATCGGTGACCCCGAGGTCAATAAAATTTGGTTTCCTTCGACAAATTTGACAGGCCTTTCGAACGCCGTTTGAATTTTTCGGATCCGTCCAGTAGTTTCGGAGATACGAGGGGGGGCAAAAAATAGCCCCCCCCCCACCAGGTCGCGTTATAAACAGACCCCACCAGGGCGCGGGTTAAAACACCAGGGGCCGTATTCACGTCGATCTTTTTCGTAAGAATTTTCTTAAGTTTGACCTACTTCTTAAGTAAATTTTTTTAATCACGTGAACTCCATCGATAAAAACTTAAGAAGTGTCGACGTGAATACCAAATTATACTTACGAAAGAAAATCGACTTACGAAGTCGACGTGAATACGGCCCCAGATAAAAGAAAATGAGGCCTACGAGGGGTGAGCGAGTGAAATAAGTGAAGCACTAAGTGCTGTCACATTTTCTGACCGCCGCCTTGAAGGCGCGGAGGGTGGGCATGCTGCGGACAGACTGTGGAAGTCTATTCCAGGTTACCGCCCCGCGGTATGAGAAGGATCTCTTCTGGCTGGCTGACAGTCTGCAGCGCTGCACATGCAGGTCGCCGCCATCGGAGCCGCGCGTCTCCCGGGTCGACACCACGCTCCGGGGCACCAGGAGCTCTCGCACGTTGGAGGGTGCGCCGTCCGTCCGCAGCAGCCTCCACACCTTGGTGACGTCCCGGCACGCCACCAGGGCCGCGATCCTCGGCTAATCAAGAGAATTTAGAGATGATGTGATGTGCTCGTGCTTTTTAACCCGCGCGGGGCTGGGGTCTCCAGCCGAACGCGCGGGGCGGGGGGGGGTGTAAATTTTACCCCCCTGTTATCTCCCGAACTAATGGTCCGATTTGGAAAATTCGAACGCCAATCGAAAGATCTCATCACGAACAACTAAAAACATGTACTTAATTTAAAGTTTGAGGTCCAGGTCAAGGTCAGGTCAAGGGTACAAATTGCAAGTTTCTACAGTATCGGCCTTGCACCGTAGTTGCCGAAGAATGGAGTCATGGACTGAGACTGATTGCCCAAAACGTGTTCTTAGGCTACCAAGACAATATTCGTTGCATACAATATCATTCAGAGGTCAAGGTCAAGGTCAGGGGGGGGGGGTTAAATTTACTCCCCCCAGCCCCGCGCGGGTTAAACCCCGTTACAACATTTGCCGAAAAATTGATTAGCTCCTGTATTTTGTGCATCTGTCCCTTGGCCGCCCCACCCCTCACACAAAGACGCGGAGGTGGCGCTGACCCTTTTAAAAGTGGCGGCGACCTTCATGATATGCGGGAAGACGTAGGCCTGGACGATGATTTTAAGTGCTTCAGGAGTAAAATAGTGTCTGAATCTTTACAGCGAAAGAGAAAAAGAATTTTGTTGCACTTTTGGACGACAAACGTGATGTGTTCCTCCCACGACAGGATTGCATCAGCAGTGACACCGATAATTTTTAGGGCTTTTGAGGGCTGAATCAAAGAGCTCTCCACTTCGAACTTGAAATGATGGGTTTTTGTTACGTTTTGCTATAGTACCTACCAACAATCATGAAATCGGTTTTGTTGCTGCTACCTATTCATTTTCAATGAGTTCGCTCCGAACCGGGCATGAAGCTCGCGCATGGTGAGCTCCAGCCTAGCTCGGAGTTCGGCCAGGCTCGGCCCGCAGGTGAGGCACAGCCTACATGAAGGGCATCGTCCCCGTACGAGGCGCCCATGGGTCAGATGTGCCGGAAGGTCTGATCACTTGATGTGAACAGAATGAAGAGGATTGGACCGATTATCGAGCCCTGGGGCACGCCGCAGGGTACAGACAGGGTCACATCCCCACCCCTAACGATCTAACAACGTCCAGCGAGATATCTGGAGAACCAGCCGACGTCCGTGACTCCATACCATGAGGTCTGGTATGGGATTCCATACCGTGACTCCATACTTGGTGAGGAGGATCGAGGACACCATGATTGACGGTGTCAAACACCTTCGATAGATCGATCGCCGCAACCGACGATACGAGACCACGGTCGGTGCTGTGCTGCTGACCAAGCGCTCGACAGCGCCGATCACCGCGTCCTTTATTGCCTTTATTGCCCCAAAAGTGGCTCCGTGCTACTGCTATCTCACATTTCCGTAGGAGCCTCTCCCGACAACTGGCGGCAAAACTGTAAAGCCTTAGTTACTAACTACCTAGATAGCGCTGCTATCGCTTCTATTATGGCCATACGACGTTATAAAGGCCATATATCAACGTAGTTGGTGGTCAATTGACTAGCGCTGGATTCTTGTGCTGAACCACAAGTAGCACAGGAGTGGACATTCATAAGTGATCGTCGATTTGCAACTGGCAAAGTGTCGGGTTCTCTTGGGGGTGATAATGCAGAAAACCTGCTGCTCTAGTCTTGCTAAAGACTAGAAGACTTTCAAGCAGCTTCATATATTTTTTAAGTGGTATCGAATATCCACAGTCTTACATATAAAATTTTAGGAGTTCCGTTATCACTTTTTTGTTAAAAATATTCGAGATATGCTAATAACAAAAAGCGCGAAGGTGCTCACACTCTTCACTACTAGAAATCTAGCATCCGGTATGAATTTATAATAAAGTAGGTCACGACAACATAGTTTTTTATTTTCGAAACTTTAATATATTAAATTCATTAGAGCTTAAAAATATTCATGGGAATTAATAAAAGATACTGACGGAAATTAAGCCCCTTTTTATTTTTTGACGTCAACAAATTATCTTTAAATGCGTCGTATCTGTCGCTGCGCCACTTAAGTATACAACATGCCGAATTTTATGTCAATTGTGCGCGGTGTTTGGTAGTTTTGGTACTGTAATGAATTTGAGGAATTTTAGGTATTTTGTGGAGCAAGCAGATAATTGTTAGAGGCACCCAGAGTTCATCTTGAAGCCAACATGAAGCCGCTTATGCTTCACGGTCACGAGCGTTCTATAACGCAAGTACGCTACAACCGTGATGGTGACCTTCTTTTTTCGACTTCGAAAGATAGCAAGCCAAATGTTTGGTGGTCAATCAACGGTGAGAGATTAGGCACATTCGATGGCCATAATGGAGCAGTCTGGTGCTTTGACATTAACTGGGACACCACCAGGTTTGTGTCTGGTGCTGCAGACAACACACTCCGAGTCTGGGATTGTGAAACTGGCAAACAGCTGGGAGAGGCCTCATGTAAGTCTGCTGTCCGAACCAGCTCCTTTAGCTACAGTGGCAAGATGATTGCATACACTACAGACAAGGCCATGGGAAATCCCTGTGAAATTTTTGTGGTGGACAGCAGGACTGCTGATGGCTTAAACTCTGCTGACCCCATCGTGAAAATTCCCATCACCAACGGCCCGAAGGTGACGTCCATGCTCTGGGGACCTCTTGACGAGTACCTTGTCACTGGTCACGAGTCTGGCGAAGTGGTGCAGTGGGACCTGAGGAGTGGAAAGACTGAGGGCAAGAAGACGATCATGACCCATGAGCACAGCAACAAGATCAATGACATGCAGCTGAACCAGGATGGCACCATGTTCATCACTGCCTCCAAGGATCACACTGCAAAGCTGTTCGACATGGCAACCCTGGAGCCCATGAAGACCTTCAAGACGGAGAGGCCTGTGAACAGCGCCTCAATCAGCCCCATCAAGGACCACATTGTGCTTGGCGGAGGACAGGACGCCATGGACGTGACAACCACCTCCTCGAGGCAGGGCAAGTTTGAGGCCCGCTTCTACCACCTCATCTTTGAGGAGGAGTTTGCTCGTGTGAAGGGCCACTTTGGCCCCATCAACTCGCTGATGTTCCACCCCGATGGCAAGAGCTTTGCGTCTGGTGGAGAGGACGGCTACATTCGCCTGCAGGAGTTTGACCCTGCCTATTTTGAGTTCAGGTTTGACTACTAGGCCCTGGTGTTAGCTTTTATACGAATGGTGTTGGCGGCTGACCTGCTGGCAGCATGTCATTGGTCCAGTGGGAAACTGGGCCGTGGCGTGCCGGCGCCCTTGACGTTCACCCTGAGCTGACCATTTGTTTGGAAGGGGATGGTCTGATCTGATTGGGCCATCCCCTTCCACAGCAGAATCTGTTACTGGCTAGGGTGGTGTAAGGTGTTTGGACGAGGGCTTGTGCTGTCAACGTGGTGAGCAGGCCTGGCAGTGGTTGAACATTTCCAATGACTTTACTTTCCTGGAATTCTTTTCCAGACAGTATGAGTAGAGCTACCTTCTGAAATTATTTATAGATCATTTGTTAATCTTGTTTTGGCAGCATTGAGTTAATGATCAATACATCTTGCTGGATACCTATCTACAATTGTTGTTTTCTGCTAAGCTGCAGTGTTTTTTTTTGCACTGATTGTTGAGTGCGCATTGTGTTTTGGCTGGTATTTTTTCATGCTTACACTTAGTAAATTTATCCTAGGCAATTGCATTAATTTCATAAGTAAATAAATACTGACTGGGCAAAACATAGGAATGGGAGGGAGCTTACCTACATCTCATTATTTGAGTGCTGCTATTGCTTATTGTTCACAGTACACGAATAGCAGGTTATTTTGCTAGATGTCTAATAACTTAAGTCGTTTTGTACAGTTTTGCCTTCATCGCATTTTGGTACTTGTTATGGCGTGGAATGGTGCAGCCCTATAGCCTTGGTGCAGTCACGCTGGTAATTGGAACACAACGCATAGTATTTTCTTATTGCTAGGGTTCATTGGCCTGACAAAGTGGGTCAGCCATGTAGCCTAAATCCAGGCCTAAATCCTTGCACCAGTGGAATTCACTGGTTGTCCACAGACTGGTACCGCTGGGCTACTGAATTCGATACCCGACTCGATTCGACCCGTTATTGATTCGCTGACGACGATATGTATAATACATATTGAAAGCGCTCCGACCCATTCGATCTCCTTGTGGAGTAAGTCCTAGTATTTCATCAATTTAATTCCATCTCCACATCATGTCATTACGCTGGGCTACTGGTTCCAGCGACCATTGCGATTGCACCATAACCCTATCGGCTTGGACATCGAAAGATCAATGGTGCTGAAAAGTATATTAACCGATATTGTCATCCAGAACAGACGGAAACAACTCCATCCAAGCTAGCAGCATTGTTGGTGTTCTTGTTCAGTGTTCACCTGTGGGTGGGGGAGTTGCTCTGACGTTGGGTTGGGTTGTCGTGACTTCAGTGAATATCAAGAAAATAGGACATCGCATTCTCTTCATTAACTAATGTTTGCAACTTTTCAGAAGCGTGGCACAACGTGAACACTGAACGGCATGGCATTCTTTCTATGCCCTGCCCCAGAATTCCTAAACACCACGCTCGTGGGACTTGTGTTTTGCTCTGAATCTTCGTTCGGATGGGAGGCATGGAGGCATGGCTGGCTTCAGATTTTCTTTATTGAACCGTTACGGGAAGGCTGTGGTGGCCGTGGTAATTATAACCTATAACGCATTAACATTGCACTTCCTGTTGAAATCTGAACCCCAAATTACGAAAGGTCAGTCCTGAAGGTCAAGTTGTCTCTTTATTGCTTCAACCCTGCAGCGCCTTGCCTGCAGCTTAACCCTCGCATGTGTGCGGCGTTTGCCAGCTTCTAATGTGTAGGGGGGGGTCTGTTGGACCCCCCACCCCTGGCCGTTTGGCCCCTGATCGAGCTAGAGCTTCGCGGAAAAAACGAGCGTGTTGCCCGTGACGAGAGGAAGCCGATGATAACCAATTTTGAGGTCCTAGGTCATTGGTTGACCTTCCAGGCCAGGTCAATGACCCAAAGCCGGGAAAATCGGGACCTATTAGAAAGTCGTCAAGTGTGGCTGCTAAGGTGTTTTTCGGGGTAGGTACTAAATCTAATCACGAATATCGTGTTAGTTTTGATCACAGATGATGTCTAAGCATTTAGACCAGGTCGAGTCAGGTCAGGTCAGGTCAACCAGTAGGGGTTGTGACGGGTATTCGTAGTACGTGTCAACCGCCTCTGACAGCTTCGTAACATGTTACGAAGGCACCAAAACTACTTCGTAAATGTTCCAATGGTTGCTAAATTCGAGTTTAGCTCCAAAAACTAGCCTAGAAACATGTAAAAATCGAAAAAAGCGACCCGAGGTCACCAAAGGTCAATGACCTGACCTGACCTTCAGGTGACCTTGACACCCACCCTAATGCATATGAGCAACATCAAATCACATGTTTTGACGTTTGAAACCACGAAAAGCTTGCAAACGCGCGGCTAATGCGAGCCGACATACGCGGAATCGCGATTCCGGCCAAGCATGGTCTCGGAAAAGAGGTCACAGGTCAAAAGTCATTTGGGTCAGGGTCATGAAATTTTTAGGGTAGGTGTAAAATTGATCAAGGCGAGGGTACTGTAAGTTTCGTCGCGATTGGCCGCTTTTTACGCGAGTTATTCGCGAAAAACCATGGGGGGTCCATCCGACACCCCCTACTAGAGGTGGAAATGACTAACGTTTTCCAAAATCTTGACTAATGACTGACTAATGACTAATGACAATTTTGGTTGACTGACTTTTGACTGACTAATCTTTGGTCTCAAAAGGCTTGATTGACTAATGAATGACTAACGCCATTTTTCTTGATTTTGACTAATATTTGACTAAATTTCGGAATTTGTTAGCACTGCGTAAATAATTCCGATCGACACCGGAAAAACACAAATCGATCCCAAATTTTCTACCTAATCATTTTATGGCCAACGCGATGCGAAGCCACCGCAAGATATCTTGTCGGCCGCTACGACGCCTGGTTAGGGAGATAACAGGCGGGGAGGAGGGGGGGGGGGTAAAATTTATCCCCCCAGCCGGGCGCATTCGGCCGGCGACCCCCAGTGGGGCGCGGGTTAACCCTCGCCCGACCCTGGCAGGGCATTTTTCGTAACGCGGCCTGGCTGGGGGGGGGGGGGGGGGTCGATGCGATCCTTCTGGCGTTTCGAAACTAAGCGTCGTGGCGTTTCGCAACAAAGACCAGTCGATTGGTCTCAACGAGTACTCGCGATTGGTGGTATCTTTTTACCATGGGTCAATATTTGACCCAGTTATGACAGGTCATTGGTCAAAGGTCAAATTTCGTGGAAAAACTATAATTTTCCAAATTACTTAGCCAATATTGGCGAATTTATGAAAGATAGCGTCATGAAACTTTCACGACCGCGTTTCGCAACGAATTAGCAACAAAATGAGGAATAGTTGACTGCATTTCAGTCATTACTGGCGTGACGTATTCCCCGGGAACATGGGAGGCCACGCCCGCCGCTGGCGAGGACGTTTGCGAATATCGAGAGCTTTCCAACTAATCGAGTCAACATTGGTGCGTCTATGAAAGATAGAGACTTGCAACTTCGAAGAGCGTATTCCTCAGAAGAGCGTATTCCTCAGCTGCAAAATTACATATTGTTGACTTTTTATGACTTTTTATGGTGATAAAAAAGGCTTTCAATGACGTCACGTACCACGGTACCTGGCCCAAAAATCCGCAAGGCTATGCTCGCTGACCGGCAGCAGCAGCGGCCGCCCGTCAACCGGAGACCTGGGGAAGTGGGGAGTTCACTGCCACTTGTAGGAACAGTTTTGAAGGCGTTTAGGTGGAAATTGAACCGCAGATTCGGATTCAGGACCTCAAGAAACCCCACTACGGACACTAAACATAGCTCATATCACGGAGGTCAGCGTGTGAACATGCGAGATCATCTTGGTTGACCTTAGAAAGGTCAATGTAAAGATCATGCATCCAGTCAAATTCTGACATAAACCACACGGAATAGCTTCGTTCTTGTCGATGAGATCACGTCCAGTTACGGTATGTACGATTTTGTCAAAAACGGTCGGAGGTTGTACTTATTATGACGTCATAGCTCGGTGAACTGACATGACCCGATTTTTTTTTTTGTCTAGCAAAAGTTATGCAAAGGATACCCCAGAGGCTATTGAAAATTTCAGCACGATCCGACTAATAGTTCAGCGCGCATCGCAAAAAAAAACTCAGGGGGGGGTCGCATCGACCCCTCCCCTGTCAGGGCGAGGGTTAAGTCACCTCACGAATCACGACAAATTAGTCGACTAATATGCAACAAAATCATTGACTAATGACTGACTAATGACTAACAAACATTTTGGTTGACTGACTTTTGACTGACTAAAAAAGTGCTTGACTAACGTTAGTCGACTAATTTTTGACTAATGACTAATATTCATTTCCACCTCTACCCCCTACACATGCGAAGGTTAACCCGCGCCCCACTGGGGGCTTCCTGGATTTCCACGCTCTGCTGGGGAGGGGGGGTGTTTGAACACCCCCTTCTACTTCTGCTCCTGGGCCACGTAGCGATAGGTAGAAGGCGGCGTTCGAAAGAGCGCCAAAAATAATGGCGAAATCACTTCGGTTCCTTTTTTTGGTCAGGTCAAAGGTCAGGTCACCAGAGGTCATTGAAGGCAAAATTTCGCTACTGTTCGGATCGAATGTCGACAATTTCCAAGAAGGCAACGCATACCTAACTCGGGAACCAATAGAGGTACAGCGACGCGGAAAAGCGCATTGGATAGGCATATTATCGCCCTTTCTGAGAAATTATCTCAGATTTGACCTAACGTCAACGGTTTTGCCTGCAGTGGCAAGAACTGACAAAATAACATGTTTTTTTTCGGAAAGTTTTTCTGCAATAACTTTTGACCCAAGCCGGCATTGTGTTCCTATCGTCAGGACATATCGAATGAAGTATCATTTGACATTGAAAGGTCAACTTGAAAAATTGACATCAGGTCAAGGTCATGACCTGACCGGTAAGGGTCATGTTGCATATCAGTCGATCCGTATGGTTGAGCCGATAGAATTAGGTAAGTGTTTTAATCGCTCTAGCATGCCTTTGTCAAAAGTTATTCGAGAAAAACTGTTCGCTACCATTCGTGACCTAAGATGACCTCAGGGGCATAGAAAGGGTCGCGGGTGCTATTTTAACCCTATTAGTGGCAGGCTCCTGGCTACCCCATATTAGTGGCAGGGGGGGGGGCTGTTTACGACCCCCCCTTGATATCTCGAGATCTAACCGGCCGATTTTCAAAATTCAAACGGCATTCGATTTGGCTCAACGAGATCTACATTTCTAAAAAAAAATAAAATTAAAGAATGCCAATAGGGGGGTAGAGGGGGGTAAAAACGGGCAAATTGCAGATACATTTTAGACTGTTTATCATGGCCAGGTTTCTGAACCAATCTTAACGCAACTTTTGCCGATCGATAGAGAATGAACCAGGAATTCACATGGATCCTAAAAATATGCATTTTCAAAAATCATAGGCGGA